TTTGTGGCTCTCCTCTGGATGTGCTCCAACATGTCCATGTCTCTTCTGTACTGAGTACTCCACACGCAGACAAAGCACTACAGGTGAGATTACACCAGCACAGAGTAGAGAGGCAGGACCACATCCATTTGTACCCACTTTATTTTTGCATTATTTTTGGTGATGCTGTGCTCCTTACATTCCCCAACTTGTACAGATAATGGGGGTTGCCACAACCCATGTGCAAGACCTTATACTTGGCCTTCTTGAACATCACAAGGTTCACCTTGGCCCAGTGATCAAGCCTAAGCCTTTCTGAATCACATCCCCTTCCTGAGGAGTGTCGAGTGCACCAAACAGCTTGATGTCATCCATAAACTTGCTGAGGATACACTTGAACCTACTGTCAACCATCGATACAGAAGATATAATCTCTAGCTACTACTGTTAAAAAGCTTTAATGGTATCACTATTTCCTTCCAGAATTTTCTGAGAGTCAAAGCACTTAATGAAAAGTGTTTCAAAACAATATAAATAGAAAATAAAGCAGGGCACAGTCAGTGTAAAACCTGCCTGTGTGAAAGTGCTGCAGGAAGTGTTTGAACTGGATGAGTAAATGAACAACCTATTTCTCAATACAGTCTCCTATTCTAATTACAATCTCCATATTTAAACGTGCCATTATGTTGTCTCATCATAGTTCTTATTCATCTAAACAAAAGTCAGGTAAAATTGCACTGGAAATGCTTAAATTTCTTAAGAATTAAATAAAGATGCTAAAATCTGTGAAAAATAAGGGTAATTTTTTTTTCTTGTACACATTCCTGAAACGCTTATTGGCTATGAAAACTTTAGTTGTTCTGTACTCTTTGATATGGGTGATCTTAACAGTAATCTTAAAAATCTCAACAGTAATATTAATAACTAATCTTAAAAGTAATAGCAATCTTAAAAATCTAGATAAAAAAGCTCTGGTTGATCAAAAACCTCTTCATATGGTATATATGTTTATCTATGTGTATCAGATCTCTGCAAAAATCTTCAAAACTGGCTAATGAATTAAATGACAATTAAAAACAACCTCATTCTTTGATTTCTGTAGTTACTCTGGCAGGAGAATAAACCTGCCACTAAGTCTTCTATTAACAAATACGTATCTACATACCGTTAGGAATCACAATAAAAATATCAGCTGTAGTCAATTGATACTGCTTTATAATATCTTATAAATATCACAGTTCAGGTCTGTTTCCCTTGACTATACCCTTTCAAAATAAACAAGGGAATAGTTCTTAGACGTTCCAAAACAATGGACCAGTAAAATTCTATAATAAGTTCTTTGTAAAGTGCCAGGTTTATTATTTCATTTGAAGTGCTGATGTGATTACAATGGTATACACAGCATGAGTAGATAGACTTTTCCTTCCCCATAATACTTCTCTGGGATCTGCTTAAATATCTCATGATTCCCAGTTGTGCTACACCATTGTTTCATTACCTTTGAATTATGTGACACACATCACAAATGCAACCATTGTATTATCCAGTGATATGAAAAACTATATGGGAACTAATCCAACATTATTAGTGTACAGAAAAAAAGCATTCCTTCATCAAAGTTTTGCAAGCTCAACGAACATATCAAAGGCCTAAGTTTTAAATTAAACAAATCCACATTTCTGTCCCTTAGAAAATGTACTTTATGATGTATGCTATTTATTAATTTGTTTTGTTCTGTTTTTGACCCATTATTTTAAATAAAGTGGGAGATAATAAAGGATTTTCTTCAGGAATAAAAAAAAAAACTGTCATGATCGATTAATTTATCTACAGAAACGAAGATCAATGTTGCCTGCTTGTATATAAATGAAAATTGTTTTCATTAAATGCTTGAGTTAGTTTAATCAAAGTTAAGGCAAATATTCCTATGATAATCATTACTAATAACCTATGTTTCAGACACTGAAAATGCTAAGTAGAAGTACAGTGGCAATTCTTTGTCATGTTGATATCCTTCTGACAATTATTCAAAAGACCAAAAAAATTATTTTTCTAAGTGTACTTAACTCTGAGACTGTCTCTGAATGGCAAGACTGAGAGCTGGCTAGAATGACTGGCTAGAATGACAAATCTGTTCCAAAAAGAAAAAAAAAGGTATGAAACCATCTAAAACATTATCATCCTTCTTCCCAAGTCCAATTTCAGGGGTGTTTTATTGTAGAAACAGAGAACCTCTCTGCATTTAAAACACAGGTTACTACAACAGAACACTTTCCTAAAAGGTAGTTTTACTAAAACTCAAAGACTTATAAAAGTGAAATGTAGCTGTACTACTTTATCAAAGCCTTTATCTGGCCATCTTAGCATTCGGGTATTCTTTTAAAAACAGAACAACTGTATATTTGTAATATTTTGTTATACTTGGTATTTCTTTCTAGAACTTATCTCTGTTAGTAAGGCTCAAAATGTTTTTTTTCTTGTGTCTCCTCATTACGCCTTCTTTTCTTTACGTGAGTCTCAAATTAACTTGACATAGACACTTTACATGCATTTTAGGCTAAATGTAAAGTATTCCCTCATGCCCATGAGGCATTTGGAAAGTTGATAAGTTCTGCTTTCAAGGACACTCTAAATGAGGTTATTAAAATTCAATGCTTTTCATATTCTGATGGAGAAAAATGTTTGTCCCTTACAACAAAGGACATAGGTCAATTTAAGAAAGCTTCTCAGTCTCCTTATCCACGGCCATGGAATACCTTGTGCCAGTATTTGTAAATGTAAAATAAGAAAATGTTACCAGGGAGGAAGAAAAGTATAGGAGACTAGGTTCTATCCAAAAGTAAAAATCCATAACCATCTGTTGTTTGTGTTGCATGCATTTTGCAACTGTCATCTCCACTGTTCACGTCATTCCATCTTCACAGCAATATCACTGAAACACCCACTGAGATAAAATCACAAATATTTTGAACATACCATATGATATTTTATTTTCCAAATTAATATTCAACAAAGTCACATTGAGCACTTGTTTTTAGTTTACTTTTGCGTTGTCACCTGAAAAATCTTTTGAGTTTGCAACTACATGATGGTTAAGCTCAAACTTGAATAATGAAAGAAACATAGAAAAAAAAAAAAAAAAAAAAGAAGAAAAACAGAGAGAAGAGAGGGTCTCTTTTCTTGGAGATATCCAAGCCCTTCCTGGATGCTCACTTGTGTGACCTACTGTAGGGAATTGGCTTTAGCAGAGAAGTTGGAGTTGATGGTATCTAGAGGTCACTTCTAACTCCTATAATTCTGCAATTCTGTGTCTCTGTGAATCAATTACATGTTGTATTTTTTTAACTGTAAGCATGTTTTCAAAAATGGCAATGGTAACTACTTAAACTCTGCTTGACTACTCAATCTACTTGAAGCATTTTTCTTGGAGAATGGTCTCAAAATGCTTTTAAAATTATTATTTGGTTAAGTTATCTGGAAGTTAAATGGACATTTATTTTTTGAACTTCAGAACAGCACGATAATCCCACATTTCACAGTTTGGAAGAATTAGAAGTTTTCAAGCTTATCTCTATAACCTAGTGTCACATCTAAAAAGCTTTTTTTGAAAATAGAAACAACAACAACCAAAGTGAAATTTGCTCTTGGCTAAATGACAAGAAAAAGAGTTAAAGTCAATTAAGTAACCTGCTTTTTCCAGTTTTTAGACTTCCACAAGGATGTCTAAAACCCAAGGTCAGCTGTGTCTGAAATCAACATATCTGTCACATGGCTCTAACAACCACCACTAAGGTTTCTCATCAAATCTATACTGAAAACAACAAATACATATATTTTTCTCTAGACAAATAGAGCTCTAATAAAATTTCTAATCACTTTTAGCTGTGCTGTGCAAAGTAGAAAAATGGAAATTTTGAAAAAGAGAAGAATGAACGGTGAGAATCTGAGGTAAAGCATATTTGGATTTTTGGGTCTTCAATTCCTTAATATCTGTGTGCATCAGAGCAAACATATGACTCTTCAAGTATGTACACACAGTTGATATATTAAAGAAAACACACATGCATACATATTATATATATATATATATATATGCTTTCATATGTGTACACAAACACAATATGTCCTGTCAGGATAGCTCCACTAATTCCATCTTACCCCAAATTCAGCCCTCCTGTAGTAGAAGTGTGGTCATCCCAGTCACAGTCCCTTGTGTGTAGGAGTCCATCACATAGCTATCACCACTAATTTAATACAATTGACAGTCTCTGCTCAAGAGAGGCAGAAGAAGGAGTTGCCATGGAGACTGAACTATTGCCCTTCTCCAGAGGATACTTCTTTCAAGCACAGGCTGAACCACAGAGGCCATCTATTACATGTAACCTTGATCGTATTACAGGATCTTGCATTTTGGGAAGGCTTTTTAGTAAGCTCTAATAAACATCCCGGAGACGAGAGTTAGGAGGAAAAGAGCGTGTTTGAGAAAAAATAAATAAATAAACCCAACAAGAACTCACGGAACTGCTTATTATCTTAGATTGAGAGGGGGAAAGAATTTCATATTGACTAGATTTATCAGATTTGTCACCTCTGCTTAGTGCTTTCCTAACAGAGTGAATGCTGTGCTTGACCTATTTGCAGGAATTAACCAGGACTGCAAGAGACCATATGGATTGCCAGATGGTCTGCTATAATTTAATGCCATTTATTCTAAGTATGAAGTAAGTGATAAACATAATTAACATTCTTTTAGTTCCTTACTGGATGCCATTTATTAGTTTATTAGTATTCGTGTTTTGTTTTTTGTTTTTTGTTTTTTTTTTTTCTAAAGCATTGAAAGGTAAGTTAATACCTTGTTATTGAAACACAGAAGCCAGCTAATTACAGCAAGAGGCTGGAGCCTCTAAAGCAAAGAGTGTCAGCACAGACTCTTAACTTATTCACTGACCCCACTGTGATGATTAATAGGTTGAATGCTAAGCTCTAATGAGAATGACAGATCTTAGATGTTTTCAAGTTACCTTAATTAATAGTATGATGAAGAGAGTGTTCACGCAGACATATCATACTTCATAGTAAACACTACACACTGTACTTATGGTCTTCATGTCTTTCACATTACAGCACATCAAATGCTAAGGAATAAAACCACCTTCAGGCAGTAAAAACAATGGAGTGATTTCCTTCAGAAGTGTTTTTCCTGATTGCTATTTCATATTCTGCCAGATATTGTCTGAATGCTCTATTTTTTAGGAAGTGGTTCTAGAGAAGTTATGGCTTCAAAGAGTGTTTATACGCAGCAGAATCGTCATTTCAAAACCACAGTAAGATAAGTAATGCCTCCTATTAAATTCCATGGAATCTACAGCAAAGAACACAATAACACTGTTTGATAGAGCAAATTTTCAACTACAGAATACTGTTTGTCAATAGTCACCACCATTAGCTATGCCTTTTGGCCAGCAATCAACAAGCATGCCATGCTCATAAATTCTGCACCAGTGGAGGTGACCCACTGACACTGTTGCCACCGCTGAAACCTACCATCACTGCCTCACTGTGCTCACATCCATAGTTTAGTCTCCATATCTGCTCAGCAAGTGTCAATGCATGTCAATGAGTGCCTTTTTTTTCCATGTGGAGGAAGGAATTCAGTGACACATCTTTGCTTCACATGCACTTTCATGTCAGATGCCATTTTGTGAGCCCCTCTGCTGCCAAACCACCAACACCTGATATCATGGTCCAAAACAATATCTGATATCATGGGCCAAAACAATAAAATAGGGGCATTGCTTTCAGATCAGCCTATGTTCAAACATGACCATAGCTAAATGCCTTTCAGTTTGTGTCTGCACTATTAATAAAAGTTGAGTGAACTTTGAGATGATAGAAATGGCACAAATTAGTTGTTATTCAGAGATTAAAACAAACAAACAAACAAAAAAAACAAACAACAAACAACTGTGCTATAAAGTAAATCTGCCCTAATAAAATTTAGATAACATTAGAAAACACAGTGAACAAGACTTCAGTTCAGAAGTCACAGCATAAGGAAAATGGAAGCAGATTCCAATTCTTATCATCTGTGCACTCCCCTTCTTCCAGATGGATCCACACAGGGGCTTCCACAGTTACATCTGTGCGCTTTGCAGTGCAAGAGCATATGTATTTGTAAATACACAGCCTTCTGAAGAAAGTACTTTCAGAGGAAATCTGAATGAGACATTCTCTCCATTCCCACAGCACCATGCACACTGACTGCCTTTGGGCTGCTTGCAGAGTGCACGGTGCTAGTCAAGCATGCTTGCACACACAAAATGGCGTATTATCAGAGTGAAACACATTTTTAGGCTTGCAGTATTCATAACCACCAGTTATGATTTGAGAGTAACCTGGTCATAAGTCATAACATATAGCAAGGATATGTGTGCTCCTTTACTCCGCTCTTGAAGGCACTGAATCAAGTTACTTCTTCGCTTGGTGAATTGTTGCTGCTCCTATAAACTCCTTCAAATTCTCCCTATTAATAAATATAAGATCAAAACATCTGAAAAGCAAGTTTGCATTGATACTGGCACCACTTGCCAAATCAACTTTATTAGTTCTCTGTCTCTGCTACCGTTTTAAGAAAAAAAAACAACCATTATGTTTTCCATTCCATTAACTGAAAAATATTTAACTGAGGTGCTTCAGCTAATGCTATGCTGGCTGTAGACTCTTCTTTATAGTCAGAGGAGAAAAAAGGTACTTAAAGAGTGCAACTCAGCTAGTCTGAACTCTCTCCTATAGACACCTACCTCTTTTCCTTCACTGCTAAAGCAGCTATGGTCACTCAAATGTCAAGGCTTAGGTAGGTTGAAAGCAGTGATAAAAAAATACCATGGTAAAAACAGGACTTCGTGTATTCTTCACACAGTCGTTTGCTGGGATCTGATAATATCATACTTTATTACAGAAACCACTTCTGAAAAATACAGAAGTGCTGCTCTTCAGTGAATAAAGATAAAGTGCTATAGGCACAGCGTTCTCAGTTGCTATATACTTTATACTATATTCCTTTTCTATATAAACTTTTCAGTTTCTATACATACAGTTTCTATACATTTTTATACATATGTACATATTTTTTTATAATATATGTATTGAAGATTTCATAGTCCCATTATTAAACAGTCTGAGATGTTCCAAGTTATAACATTCAAAGAAAAAGCACCAGGTAAATTCTTAGGTAACTTGTAAAATCAGTTAGTAATTAACTGTAAGTGCTTTAAGATCATGTGGGCAGGTGAGCTGTGATATTTCAAATTTCACAAACATCTTACCTCCTGCATACATGACAGCCAACATTATTGATGATATCCAAGCTATCTCACTATATGATGTATGGAAGATTTCCTGTATTTCCTTGAAGAATACCGTGATGGCTTTGGGGAATGCATAGGAGAATCCAATGGAAATAAAGGCCCCAAAGACCACAACCCACCCCCAGCCTCCATCTGGAGGTGGGTACTGTGGTGCTCCTATTGCTGGTGGCATTTCTAGTCTCTGCCTCTTCTCCAATTAAGCTGAAAAAGAAGAGAAGAAACAAAGTTTCAGACATTTTTTCTTTCTTTAATATACTGCAGTATTCCACCATCATCTGCAGAATCCTCAAAGCAGAGACCAACTCCCAGTTTACATGCAAACACAGAATACAAAAACCTGTTTTCAGAAGCAAAAATCTGTTCTTTAAAAAAAAAAAAGAAAAAAGAAAAAAGAAAAAAGAAAAAAGAATATTTGAATATTTGAAATATCCCATTTAGTATGTGTAACTATGTCACTGAAATTGTGTTTGTAATTATTCATTTCTTGGAAAATGATGTGTTTGTGTAGGTAAATTTCCTTATCTCTTCGATCTACACTATGGACTTAGAATAGGTATGACAGAAAAAAAAAACAATATCGTATAGAAAGAAATGGAAAAAAGTTACAGTAAATAATTCCTAAATGCTGTTTTGTTAGCAACACTTGCAATTACTTTCGCAAAATCATCAGCAATTACAGTAATGAACAAGTGTGTAATAGAATGTTTATCATGTGCTCTCATTTTCCAGTCATTAATCATTGTTAATATTTCTCGCTTAACTCAAGATAACATTTTAAGAGTGTATTTTAAAGAAAGACTTCAAATTCCTTGTGTAGCCATAAAATAAACCCAAAAATTACAATGTCATATTGTACTGGTTTTAAAATTTTATTCTGCTTATTAGTAACTGCTGATATTACTTGCAGGGGCAAAGTCAATCTCGATGGTACTTTTTTTTTTTCTCTGTATTTACACATTTAAAGACATCAGAAAGTCTTTTACTAACAACTTCACAAACTTCCCACAGCTATTTTCTAATTTAAAGTTTACCATAATAGAAGGCATCAAAGTGGTTTTTGCAGAGGTTCCTAGAGGTGCAACAAAAAAAAAATAAAAAAAAAAAAAAAAAAAAAAAAAAAAAATCAGGGAGTTTAACAAATCATAGGTAATTCACTTAAAACTCCTAAGGCCTGAAATTAATTTTATATTTTTATTATCATCTTGATTATTTATTCCTATAGATATTAAATATTAGCATCTTGATATTATATTCCTGAAGAATATGTAGCAGCAAGAATTAATTTTGTAGTTCTGAGATATTTCCAATCTAAATCCTCTTTTTTACTGAACAAAGTTGGAGTCCACTTTGTTTTCATCTGTGTAATGCAACCTACACACACTGCATGTCCTGAACATTCCACCCTTTTCTATGTTCCTTACTTGGGCATTTGCATGACTTCTTACTCTTGAATGGTCTCCTAACAGACAGTACTGAAAGCTGTGGATCATAACAATACGTAAGTTTTTTTTATTATTATGATTACGATTACCAGTGAGTCTCCATGAGATTTATTCTGTGTTGCTTACATCATACCCCAATTTCTCACAGTGAACTGCATTAGCATTGGGAGTGATATGATTACTTTAACAAAACCAAAAAATGAGCTGTGTCAGCTTATATTAATTTCCAGTATAGTACCTAGAGTGCTGTCAGGGTAAATGCCACATACTAGCAAAGTGTTCCTTTACAAATTATCTATCATAAGGTCACCTTTGTGATAGAAACCTCTTTAATTCTGATTCTCTACTTCACTGCAGCTGGTTGTAGACATCACCTTCATACTGGCCAACCTCCAAAGGAGCTAAATCAACCACTAAAACACCTGGCTTCTATGCAAAGCTGCAATATCCCAGCTAATTTGTTTTCTGCATCATGTTATACAGATTTGCTGCTGACAGCAATAGAAATCTACTGCTCCACAGACTTTTTTTTTGTTTTGTTTTGTTTTGTTTTGTTAATATGCATGTCTAGAAAGAACCCCTGGCATGTACTTTGGTTCTGGTTACCCTGGTCTCAGCTTAATATTAGTCATGAATCAGAAGGAAAAACCTGGGTCTGCCACTAGAAGTTAGAAAAGTAGAGACAATTACAGTTGTTGAAATTTAATTTTGGCAAAGTAGTTAAACACCTGTTTACTGACTGAGGACCACTGGAAGGCAAAGTATCTCAAAAAGTCCATCATACACTAGGGCATGCATAGTAACTGATTGCCTCCACAGGAAAAAAATAAAAAAAGAAAAAGAAAACCACATAAATTGGCATGAAAATAAAAATCCCATTTCTATGACCTAACTGAATGGCTTGGAATAGCAGTTTTCTGTCCCAGAAATCTGTTGTACTGCTCATTAGAGAAAACTTTTAGTTATTTCCTGAAAAAAAAAGTTAACTATTATTTTCTTGCACTTCAAAATTTGAACGTATTTGTTTTTATATTTCATATTCATACAACAACACTTCTTTTATAAATTCTAGTAATATGGTGCAGCATGGAGGAATTGCTCCTCATAAAAATGGAAAGTGATAACCAATTTATTGAGACAGCATGCTTTTTCCTAAAAATAACATACCAGCGTTTGGCAAAATCACTACCAGTACATTGTTCAGAAGAACTCCAGTGGTGCCCAAGTGTTATAGCAATCCAGTGCAGTGCTGTAGGCCTGGGAAAGAGTGGCTAGAAAACTGTTTGGCAGAAAAGGACCTGGGAGCAGTGGTCAGCAGACAGCTGAATACAAGCCAGAAGTATGCCAAGGTGATGAAGGCCAGGAGAGTCCTGCTGTACATCAGAAATATGGTGGCCAGCAGGCAAGGGTTGCAGCTATCAATACAAACTGGGAGATGAAAAGTTGGAGCATAGCACCACCAGAAACAATACAAGGGTACTGGTGGGTGGCAAGCTGGATATGAGCCAGGAAGGTGCCCTTGCAACCCAGAAAGCCAATTATATCCTGAGCTGCATCAAAAGAAGCATGGTCAGCAGGTCAAGGGAGGTGATCCTCTCCCTCAGGTGTCAAGTATTATTTTGCAAGGAAACAGACACAAGTTGTGCCAGGAGAGGTTGAGATTGGGTACTGGGAAAAAATTATTCATGGAGAGGGTAGTCAAACATTAGAAAGGCATAATGTACGTGGCATTATGGGACTGGTTTAGTGGTGGATTTGGTGGATCGGACTGATGGTTGGACTTGAAGATCTTTTCCAACCTAGATAATAATGCGATTCTAAGGTATCAACTCTTTGGAAAAATCTCATTGTATTTGCCTTGTCAGGGTAGCAGCTCCTCTCTTTGAAAGCTTCGGAGTAAACTAAGAGGACATGAGGGAAAAGAGCAAAGGTGCAGTAGCTTTCCTATGCCTCCACCTATGCTTCAAAGCCCACTGCACTGCCAGCTCATAGCACTGCTACAGTGAATGACTGTCTGCTACCCTATGTCAGATGCTGCCCTGCCACAAAGAGGAGCCTGGATCATTATATCTTACACCTCCTGTATATTCCACAGAGTCAGTTAATAATAGCTTCCCTGATATTCCTTTATGATCATGATAGCCATTTTTAACTCACTTTAAATAGTAAAAAGAAAATACATAAGTAAATACATACATAGTTGCATAAAGAAAAGCAAAGTAATCATTTTGTCAGAAATATTAAGTCCAATGTCTGAAACATCCCATACTTTCTCAGGAACTAAAGCAGCTTCTTCCTGGAAAAATCTAATTTAATATCCACAAAACGGAACTTCTTCTAAAGCAGTCTAACACATTAATATCCTCAGCTCTTCCCTTAAGCTTAACTGGTAAGATTTTGATAGTATAAGACGTATACAGATGAGTGCGAAATCCATTAGCAACCAAAATGACAAAATGAAATAGCATTTTAGATGAGAAGGTACAAATTCTGATACAGGAAGAAAAAGAAGAGGGAGGACTGAAGCAATGATAAGGGAAAAGTCTTTCCAGAGCTCTCAGAGGTTATTAAAGGCTATGAAGGATATTAAGATATACGGAGTAGAAAAGGTAAAAACAGTCAACTGTGATGATGTGCATGTGAAGAACACAGTACCAAGGGAAAAAAAGAAAAAAGAAAAAAGAAAAAAAAAAAGCTA